TAGTCAGTCGAATTAATTATTTTTTCAGGAATTGGTGGAGCCGGTGTAGTCGGACTCTATCGACTAGGATTCCCATCTTCATCATCACCATCCTTAACGCCTTCTAGCAATATGGGAGTTTTTAAATCGGACGTTGTTTTTCAGGAAATCAAGGAGAGAATTACAGAGGTATTCACGCCAGCATAACCGCTATACAATGAAAAGAATAAACATAATATGAGAGATTCTGCTAGATAGTAGTAAATAATTCTGCTATATAGTATTAGAGCAAGAATGTGAAATAATTTCGGCTATAAGATTCAGTAGACATTACATCCCATTCAGCACAACCTATACAAATACGTATACGTAATTGACGCTTATTTTTCGGCCTTGCAAATCATAAAACTGTCTTTTTCTAATAATGTTTAATATGAGACACGCAACTTTAATTTCCACCCCTCTAATTATTGAGCGTTCGTCATAAATGCACTAAGATAAAGCAAGTCATTCCTGGTATTTTACATATACCCACAAGAACTTGAGACTTCTATGATACCAATCCCATTTTTCAAACATTGCAAAACTTCTGTCCAAGCTAATTTAATCTACATTTCGTCTTTTGTGAGAAGTGCGTCACAGTTTCAAAAAAAATATACGACGTCCCTCTTATAAAGTTAAGTGAAATATTTGGGATAAGCATTTGAATGCAATTATCTGAGTAGTCGATAACTATCTTCAACACGCATCTGAATCTGACCTTTGCAGAGATAATTTCATCAACGGCGAAACTCACTTTATTCAAGACATGTACCGAACTTGATTTTCAAATAAAAAGTTACCTAATTATAAGTTAACCATATTATAGATAAATGACTTATGCATTCACTGTAATATGTTGACTTAGTCTTACGATTCAATTTTATGCTGGCTCTTACATCTCCTCATCAATTTCCAGGAAAAGGATCTCGTGAAGAAGGTTGCCACATCATTCAAGATTAACGTAACTGGAGACGATGGCTCCATGAAGAAGTGGACTATTGATGCAAAAGTAAGTATATGTTTATAATTTTAGAATTCTAATATGTAATAATAACAACTATGACTGTATATCCGTTATATATTGAGTGCACGAATAAACGTAATTTTAAACATAAAGCCTGTAATTACAGAGCGATCCTGCATACGTTGGCCACGAGGAAAAGCCGGTAGAAATCGAAATAAGCATCAGGGACGACGACTTTATGAAAATTGCTGAAGGAAAGCTGAAGCCCGATCAGGTAAGATCATTATTTTTTTTAAAGGGCAAAAGGGAATTCCATATTGCAGGCATTCATGCAAGGAAAGATGAAGCTGAAGGGAAATATTGCTAAAGCCATGAAGCTGAAGACTCTGCTCGACCCCAAGATGCTCAAATCAAAGATCTAAAATAACATT